TCATGAGTAAATACTGAATCATATCGTGAGTAAATATTGAATCATATCGTGAGTAAAGACTGAATCAAATAATGAGTAAATACTGAATCATATCATGAGTAAATATTGAATCATATTCTGAGTAAAGACTGAATCAAATAATGAGTAAATACTGAATCATATCGTGAGTAAACACTGAATCGAATCATGAGTAAATACTGAATCATATCATGAGTAAAGACTGAATCGAATCATGAGTAAATACTGAATCATAGCATGAGTAAAGACTGAACAGATTCATGAGTAAAGACTGAATCGAATCATGAGTAAATGCTGAATCATATTGTGAGTAAAGACTGAATCAAATAATGAGTAAATACTGAATCATATTGTGAGTAAAGTCTGAATCGAATCATGAGTAAATACTGAATCATAGCGTGAGTAAAGACTGAATCAAATCATGGGTACAGACTGAATTGCCTTGTGAGTAAAGACTGAATCATATTTTGGATAAAAGTTGAACTGTGTCATGAATAAAGGTTGAAAGGCAACGTATCACTTTTTCCTGTGCGTGCATCTTTAACTGGATCGTTGACAATGTATTGTGATACGTATCGTATATCGACTGCAGACCAAAGATCAAACCTTTTGTGAAAAAAAAGAATGTTCATTGTTTTTTTTAATGAGGAAGAGAACTTGACTGGATACTGATTAAGAAACTTCCAATGAATTGTCTAGGGTTGACTTGGCTTTAAAGAAGAAATCATTGCATTGATAGTGTGTGTGTGTGTGTGTGCATGTGTGTGTGTATGGTAGAGAGAGAGAGAGAGGAGAGAGAGAGAGAGAATGACACTAAACTGCCTGAGTAGTCAACACAATGAACACACAGACACCCACATGGCCCCGCCCGAGTCATACGTGAGAGCCAGCACACATTCTTCAATTTAAAACACACACATGCACATGCACACACACTCACACGTGCATACCCCCCCCCCCACCCCCACCCCCACACACACACATACACACAGTAAGGTGGCCTCCCTTTACATCATCTCATCATCAATTCTTTGCACAACTTGAGGTTATTTTTGAAAAACTGTCAGCCAGAGACTGACCACACTCCTCTGCTTCACGACTCATGAGGATGAACATGAAGAACTGCTGGACACGTTTCTGTTCACTGCAGGGCAGATAAGATGCTTAAACACCTGACGAACAGTGGAGCTGCTGCACCGTGGGGAAAAAAAAGTCTAAATTATTTGAGACGACTGGTTCCCTCTCCCTCCGTCGGCCTGCCTGTCTTCCCCTCTTTTCTCTCACGCATGCAGATTTAGAGGTAATCCGACTCTAAACACCACCCTGAGGGTTGCCTGCGGGACTAAATCTGTATAAATTGTGGTGTAACAAGACCCACGGAGGGAGAAGCACCACCTCACTCCTTCCCATACAAGCTGCTTCAAGCCTGAGCTGAATTTCAAGTGATGAAGTGATACAAAGAGACGAATTGTGAAAATGATAAATAAATCTGCGCGAGGAGAGACAGCGAGTTTGAGAACTCGTGCTGGAGTGAGATTATTTGTAGAAGTAACCACTCGTTGGTTTTATTCTTGAAATAAATGAGCCATTATGCTTTGAAAACAAACTAATGTGTCACTTAAAAGCACAAAACTCTGACGGGAACGTGGTTCTGTTTGGAATTTAGCCCTAAAATGTAAAAGTATTAAAGAATTCGTGCGTGCATGCCTCTTTTAGTGAACCAGCTGCTGCGGCGCTCTGCAGGCGGCACCAGACCCAGAACAGCAGCTCATGTTTTCCTCTATTTTTTTAAAGGGATTGCTCAGATTTTCTAAAGTGAGATTTTATGGAAAGATGAGTGATGAATATCTTACCTGTTGCAGATAGCTTTTTGATTGACCTCAGTTTGAAGACATGAAGTTTAAATCTAAGCAGACTGAAACATTAAAGCCAGTCTCTTAATGCTGCTGCAAGAAAAGGCAACATTTTTCACGTGAACATTCTGTCTGCATGAACTCCAGGGGAAACTTGCACAAATTTAGCCCCACAAAGCACAACTTTTACACGCTGGCATTACAGAAACTAAACTGAAACACGTTCTTGGCATCTAGTAGGATATTGTGACAAGTCTGAGAGGAAAAAAAAGAAGCAAATTTTTCAATTTCCAAGACTCTCAAACTGAGACTCCTTGAAAATAGTTGAGACAAACTCCCTTTGGTGAGAAAATTGCTGCAGCCCACAAACGGACCCTGCTAAGACTTAAAACAACTCTTATCTCCAAAATGTATGATTCTCGACTAATTAAAGTCTTTCAAGTCAGAATTCACTTCCACTTCTCTGAACTGAAGAGCTACCTGCAGCAGGTAAGATACTAACTACAGGACCCCGCGTCTAAAGCTGTGAACTGTCCCTTTAAGGTTCTGGTCGCATGCAGCAGTAAGCCGCTGCAGAGAGTTTGGATCGAAGATAATCAGGTGCTTCCATCTGTCGCGCGCTTCCTTCAAATCTTACCTGCAGGCTGGGGGGCAGGTTTGTATCCCTTCTCGTTGGTGCAGACCCCCCTGCCGTGGAGCAGCGCGTGCAGCGGCTTCTCCTCGCCGCTCCTGGGCAGGCAGCGGAGCCCCTTGATGCAGGTCCCGGTGTAGACCCCGCACGCCTGGCCGTCCGTGAGCGCGCACGTCAGGCAGCAGCCGCAGCCCGGCTCCTTGACCAGCTGGCAGGTGACCGGCACCGGGGGGCACATGGACAGAGCCTTCTCATCACAGGGCTCGCAGGGGACGAACGAGCCCCAGGAGCGGGACACCCCCAGGATGAACGTCACCAAGAGGCACAAACTCCCAAACATGTTGAGGTTGGAGCATAAACCCCTGAAAGGCTCGGAGGAGGGAGGAACAGCTGCTCTGATGGACTCACAGTCTCAGATAATCCGATTCTTACAGTTAAAGCCAAGAGTCTTTATCCAGGAGCTGCGCTCTGCGTCAAAACATGGAGAATATCAGGCGCGTCTTTCTGCCCAAATCACCCGAATAAAAATAAATGTGCAGCTTTTTTATTTTTATTTTCTGGAAGCGACGTCCTCTGCAGCTGCAGGAGCAAAAGTCAAGATAACCAAACGTCAACTTGTGTCCGGAGTCAGAGTCAGGTCTTCAGTACTTTCTCCAGTTTCCTGAGCAGACTGATCAACTGGAGACCTGCCGTGCCTTTTTAAAAACAGCCAAACCCCCAAACAGCAGGAGAAGGGAGGCGCACTTGTTCCACAGCCTGGCAGGAGGCCAAACTGCTTTTATTCCTGCAGCTGAAGGCTTGCTCTTTCACCCTGAGCAGCACCAGAAATAAATAAATAAATAAATAAATGATTCCTCCAAATCTGTAGATTTGGTTTAAAAAAAAAAAAAACTTACAGAGAAACCACGTGACAGTTTGAAATTCTCACGTTTTTTTTTTTTTTACTTTATCCACATTTTCCTGCAACTTCGTTGCGGTCCCAGTTTTCCACATGTGATCAGCACAGAAGGCAAAACACATGTGGATCACGTGATTTGCACATGTGGATTTGCAACAAAAACACATGCACTTGGAAAAAAAAAAGGAAGTTAAATTAGCGTGTGAGACTAATGATGACTGCATGGGATCAAATGGTTTTTCAACATGTGAAAAACAATGTTTAAACCTCACTCAGCACATGTGAAACGTGCTTTTCACATGCTACTTGAAGCTAAGATAAAGAGTGAATATCACATGTGCACGTTCATTGTGTGATTGCGGAGCATATTATTTCTGCCGTCACGCGGTTTTGAACGTCACAAAAAGGCTAAATGTGTGAATCTTCACGCGGAATCGTTTAAAAGCAGCTGCAGGTGTTTCTTCACGGACAGATCGGGAGACCCTGTGTGTCTGCTGCACCTGTTGCTTCAATTTGTGTTCAGCAAGAGGGGAGCAGCAGGGCAGGGGTGGTTCTAGGGGGTGGCTCAGAGTGGCAGCTGCCACCATAAAAAAATAAATAGAACTTGCCACCCTGTTTGTAATTTATAGCCTACCTACTGTGATTTTATACATTTTCTCAACTCAAAATTAATAACATCTGAGCTGAACCTTAATCACCATCTTAACTCACCAGTTTAACGTTCAAACACACACACCTCTTGGATTTCAGAACGGTTTGTTCTTTCACCTGGAAATTTCACCAGCGTCTGCGTCAGTTCATGATCAACCGGGGTTTTTCTACCGGGCGCATTTCTTTGTAAATCAGCACTTTTGTTTTCTGAAGCAGAACTTTTGTCACTTCCGAGCGTTTCTGCGACTCATAAAACCCGACAGCTCTAAAATAATTATCGTCAAAATGGAATTCCTTTTCATAAAATACTGACCTGGCTGCATGGGCGTCAGAAGCATCTGTAATGTGGGGGGGGGGGGGGGGCACTAGTGTGTGTGTGTGTGTGCACGCACATGAAAATTGTACTCTAGTTTAGAAAAAAGCAACATTTCATCTAGATTTCCTTACTTTAATTCCACTTAAAGCATGTTTCTCACCACGTTTGTGTAAATTCAGCTGTTTTAAAGACATTTTAACTTTAATACACTTTAGATTGGCACTATTTATGTTTATAGAGCGAAAAAAAAACATCACCACTAGACTTTTTCACTTGTACAATACTCAACTAAATGATGTTTCTCACGAAGCTTGAAGACAATAAGGTGTGGGGTTTTAAAGAAATTTCAACTTTATTGCACCTGAGCACACAGCGTCTCTTACACCTGCAGCGTCTGACAGCGTCACAGTTACTGCTAAGCTAACATGCTACGGACGTAGCGCTCCTCTCAAGCATCCTCCTAACCATGCGTGTATGTTGGGGAGTGGTGGCGCAGAGGTTAGAGAGGTGGGCTTGTGATCCGAAGATCGCCGGTTCATGCCCCGGCCCCGACAACATCAAAAATTGTGGGTGGGGTAGGTGAAACACCCACACTTGCCCCCACCATCATTCGCCCCACTCTGGGCCCATGAGCAAGGCCCTTAACCCCACCATGTGCTCCCTAAAAAACAGGTCTCTCTTGAAAATGAGTTCTCGTGGCTCAATGAGACTAACCTGGATAAATAAAGGCTAAATGAAAAAAAAAAATAAAAAAAAATGTTTTTGATCATCCCCCTGGTCAACAACGGCCCGCACTAAGCTCGCTAAACTGGCGAGCGATCAACACAGCGGTGTCTCCACCTCCTCCACCTGTGCGTGTTTTCTGCCGAGGCAGGAGGAGACGCACAGAAGCGCTGCAGGTTGGAGGAGGTAACCAGGAAAACCTGGAGCGGATCTTTAGTGGTTTGAGTATTCTCCTATTAATCAAGTGGAATGGATTCGTTCATGAAGAAAGAGAAACTGCGCCGACTGAACTAATGTTTTATAGTAAAAGTGGGGGGTCCAAATGAACTTTTTTTTAATGTGGGGGGGGGGGGACACATATAATGGTTGCGACACCTATGCCTGGCTGGAGTTGGCATGTTCTCTCCGTGCATGCGTGGGCTTTTCTCCGGGTACTCCGGGTTTTGGTAACTCTAAATTGTTCCAAGAGAGTTTGCCTTATTTGTCTCATTGTGTCCCTGTGATGGACTGGAGACCTGTCCAGGGTGTCCCCCACCTCTCGCACAGTGATGCTAGATGTGGGCACCAGTGACCCAAAGATAAAGAAGTGGGTAAAGATAATGGATGGATGGAAATTATTGACCCTCAAACAGAATGCAGGTTTTATTTTAGTCTCTCGATGAGTTTAACATTTGTTCCGTACAATTATTTGTCCGACTGCTGTTTCAGCATTTATAACACCACTTTTTATGTGTAATACAAACATTAGAGGAAAAACAAACAAACCATTGTGAGTCTTTTTTATTGAGTCATGGAGGAAAATGACGAGCAATTTGTGTAAATCACATACAAACAACCTGAATGCACAACATGAAGTGTTATTTTTCAGGCTGCAGAGCAAACAGCTGTCTGCTTTAAGCTGCTCAAACTGTTGAACATTTCTGCTCCGTTTTGATGACTCTCCTCTGACAGGAGACCCAGACAGCCACTAGGAGGCGCTGTCAACAGAGTTACAGTTGCAGAGGGGCAGCTCTCTCTGTGTACTTTGGAAATGACAAATTTCCACATTCTCAGCTCCTAACTCAAAGTTATAACAGTGGAATTATTACACGGGAGTCTAAAAATACACTTTTCAGTGTTTCCCCTGGATTTAATGACATAATGTTACTAAAAACAAGCCTGTTTCTGATCATCTGTAACTTAAACATTTGATTTTGTGCTTGCAGTTTTGCTTCTTCTTCAAGCTTCCCGACGTGATGACTTTATTTCTTCTTTTTTCCTCTCCCTTGTTGCATTCCTCCCCCAGTGATGTCACCTCCCTTCGTTTCGCTCTCAAGCGCAAACATCTGAGTTCGAGTGAAATTCCTGCGCCAGAGTTTGACACAAAAGGGACAGAAATTGCACAAATTGAGGTGTGATGAGTCAGTGGTCCTTCCCAAACCAAAAAAGGAGTGGCCGAGTCCTCCGAGACATAAATCTGAGCCACTTTGGGATAATAATGAGGAGATTAGGACAATAAAACAGCAGGGGTTGGAGATGCAGCTCAGTGGAGTGAGGGTGAACAGATGATGAAGGAAATATGCTCCAGAAACACAAATGTTCATCGAACACAATGATCTGTGAAGGAAACTCAGTGTTCCAGCTCTGTTCTTTCCCTCTGCTTCGGTTCTGCTCGATGCAAATCCTAATTCCCCCCAGAGCTGTTCCTGCATCAATCCATCTGTTCCTCCCCTGGTACCACCCTCCTCCCATTCAAGCATCATTCTGGCTTAAAGGAACACCAGCCAGGATTTAAGTTGCACAAAGGTGCGAAGAAACAACAACAATTAGATCAATAAAAAAGTCCTTCTTGGTGTTTTGGTTTTTAACTTTACAAATGTTCTTCAGGCTCAGTTGGTAGAGCTGACACCTCTCAGCGAGAAGGTCGCCGGATCAAATCCCAGCCGGGGAGCTATTCTGGGTGAAGTTCACATGTTAGTTGTTATCAGCCCCATAAGTTGCGTTCAGACTGTTCCTCCTGTACCTCCTAGTAGGTTTAAGGTATGTTCTTAACGCTGATAATATGCAGCTTCACATACATATAAGAGCTGATTTTTTTTTGTTAGCTTTAACCCTTTTCCTAAACCAAACCTTACACCTGACCCTAAACTCTTAACCTAACCCTGGTCCTATTATCAGCGATAAGAATGTATCTTTAAACCTACTAGGAGGTACAGGAGGGACAGTCTGAACACAACCTATGGGGATGATAACGATTAATAACGTCCATTTAATGGCTGATAACATTCGAGTGAGAAGTTTTCTCCGGGTACTCCGGTTTCCCACACAGACCAGAAACATGCATGTTAGGCTGATTGGTAACTCTAAATTGTCCCTAGGTTTGAGTGAAAGAGTGAATGGTTGTTTGTCTCGTTTGTCTCTATGTGTCCCTGTGATGGATTGGAGACCTGTCCAGGGTGTCCCCCACCTCCCGCACAGTGACTGCTGGATATGGGCACCAGTGACCCCCGGGTCCCCCAGAAAGGAAGAAGCAGGTAAAGATGGAAATTTATTTTGTTTATCTAAAATATAATAGTATGCACGTTGCTGTGTTACTAAATGAGTAAAAATAAACCAAACCTGATAAACCCAACAAAGTTAAGTCAGGTCCTCTGGATGGTTTCTTTGTGTTGAAACGTTTCGTTTTTCATCCAAAGGACTTCATCAGTCCAAGCAGCCACAACAACCTCAGTCCCACAAGCAGCACACTCATAGTGGACCAACCAGTTAGCTGGTGATAAAATGGTCCAGACCATCTTATCACCAGTTAACTTGTTAGTCCACTAAAG